TACAACCGAGTGCTGCAAAGACCAGACATTTAAACAACATTTTGTCTTTTATATCAAGAAAATCAAAGTAATTATAATTTAAATAATTATTTTTAATATTTATTAATTAAAATAATTATGATTTATATTTAGAGTAAGCAATCGATGGAAGAAATAATGTTAAAAAATTATTTACAAAATACGGTGAAAAGAGAACCGAAGCACCGAATCGGCGGTCAAGTCAACGATAACTCGGGATCAAACCCAAAGAGTGATACGAAACGACTCAATGGCAACACAAAGAGACAAAAAGTGGTGCTCAAAGAGGAAGAAGACGATGCTTTCAATGACAGTCTAGATGTGGATCAAGTGATTCAAGGTTTGGAGGATGGCTTCAATTGTAGCGACGAGTGAGTCAAATGAATGGCCGATTATTCAGTCGTCCTCTTCGTCGGGTTTAAGACTGCCGAACACTTCCCGCGGAACCATCTTTTGCTGGATTTCTGTTTTTATAATTTCAGTCATTAATACAATTATTATCAAAAATTTTAACATTAAATCTGTAATTAAAATAATTTTAACTAAAACTTGAACTAACCCTTGACTGGGGCTTTGGGAGCGCCGGTATCCTCTCCGTCTTCTTCTTCGTCGTCGTCAAAGTCGTCGTCATTGATATCGATTTCGTCGGGATTTGCGGTCTTTGGCAACGAATCCACGTTCTCTTCGACCGCTTTAGTGGTCGACTTGACAAACATGACCGCACTCTTAGGCGCCGGCGCTTTCATGTTATTATCAGTGTTGGTCTCTTTGACACTGTTCTCCAATTCACTCATTCGAGTGGCGGTGTCTGTGGACTGAGCGGCGGCGCCGTTGACTGCGGCCAACATCTGTGCCGTCATGTAATTGACTTGAGTGTTGTAAGTGGCGGCCACTGAACGCTTGATGCGTAACATCTCGCGAATGGTGTCTTCGTTTCCGTGTTTGATCTCAAACTCCTTCCAAGTGTTCCAGAAGTTGGCAGAAGTGCGCGGATCGCACATCTGTGAGCAGTGGCCATATATGGCTCGCGCTCTGTCTATTTCACCCAATTTGCGCTCCAATTCGGCGAACCGGATGCACATCTCCTGCGCCTGACTATCGCTGAGCACATCGATGGCCTTCTCGTAGATCTGTCGCGTGTGAGTGACGCCAAACATTTGTGCGGCCTTTCGGATGAAGACGTTGAACAGATCGAACCGCTCTTCGGGCAGTACGGCCTGAATGGCGCGATCGTAGATATTCATGGCGTGTTTCGCCAAACCGTACTCCTCCTCGCACTTGGCGTACAAGAAGTATATCGGTTTGGCAAACCTGGCCGGACAGTCGGCCACACACTGCTCGAACAGATCGCGCGCTCTCTCCAACTTTGAGCCCTTATATCGGGCCAAGAATTTGGTCAAATAGGTATTCCAGATGTCGTACACGTTTGGCCACCGGAACAGCGAAATGCCCTTTTCGTACGCTTTGAACGCCTCCTCAAAATAGTTGCGCTCTTCGAGGAAGAGACCGTAGTTTATGATTATCTGAGGCGTCGCTATCCGTAACTCAATTATGCGGTCGTAAACCGATTTAGTGGTCGTGAATGAGCCGAACGACTCCTCTAAGTCGGCAAACATTGACCATATCTTCAGCGACTTGTGGAGCCGATTCTGGACGGTCTCCGTTTGGTCATAATAGGCCACTTTCTTATTACTGGGCGGCGCCGCAGTCGCCCTATGCATCAGTTCCAACGCCTGCTTCCAGTGCTCGTTCCGGAGCTCCATCTCTGCCCACTCGCACCAAACGGCCGCCAAATCCTCCACTTTGATGAACGCAGTGGTCGTCGCCTTTTCGAAGATCACCCGCGAGTCCTCTATTTGTCCATTTTCTTCGTAAAACTTGGCGAAACTGATCCAAAGTGTGTGCAGTTTTCCGGCCGACTGTTTCGGGTCCACCGTTTGGACGGCTTCGGTGTACACCTCAACCACTTGTGCCGGTTTTGACTCCAATAGTTTGACGCGTTTGTGCCACTCGTCCACGTTATGCGGGTTCTGTCTTAAGGCCACCGAATTAAGCAGTAGTGGTCGCCGTTCGATGAGCTCTTCGTAACGAACTAACCGTAGCTCCAAATCCAAGTCGTCCTCTTCGGTCAGTGAATTCAAATCCATTTTCGCTTTAATCAACTGCTCCTCGCTTTGGGCGTAAGCGTCAAACACTTGCGAAAAGTCTTTGATAGTCATCACCGATAGTATGGCCTCTTCGTACACATCGCGGGCCTTCTCGAAGAGACCGCTTCGCGTGTAATACTCGGCTAAACTAATCCAAAGCATTCCCTGTTCGTCGTGGTATCTCTTGATGCCCTCTCTGATGATTGCGTTCACATTCAGTGACAACACTTTGTCGGGATTTTTGCAGATAATATCACACAACTCGGTCCACATCTGATGCTTCGATTTGCCCTCTTTCGAGATGAAGTCGTCCCGATTGACCATTTCGGCCAACTTGACGGCCGCCTCATCCATGCGCTCCACTGATATCAGATACTGGATGTACTCTTCGGCCTCTTCTGGCTGTAACTTCAGGTATCGTTTGTAAACTCTGACCGCCGTTTCGGGAATGTTATACTGTTTAATGAGCCGCAGATATATCGGCCAAATGCGGTTGTGTTGAGTGATGGGCAGCGCCTGTAGGGCGCGATCTAACGTCCGTCGGGTTCGGGTGATGGCGTTCTGTGACATCAAGAACTGGCAGAACTCGATCCATATTCGGGGCATTTTATGCATAAAAACGAGCGATCGTTCAAAACAGTTGTTCACGTCGGCGACCATTGGATCAGTCATCGCAGTGTCCGACACCTGAGACTTCCGGAGCCGCAGATAACCGATCCATAGCTTATAACTTCCGGGCAATTCTTTGAGCGCCCGTTCGTACACCATATTGACCACCATTGGGTCGGCGCCGGCAGTGGTGGCCGTCGTGTCCTTCTTCTGCTGCACATAACGTAACCAATGCTTCACTGAATACGGATTGCGAAGTATGTCCTCTTCAAAGGGCAGGTCATCGCCCGACTGACCACATGTCCGACAGAGACAAAATCAATAGACAATTAGTTTTCGGTAAAAATGATTGAATAAAATATTTTAAAAATTGGTTTCATTTCTGTTTTCAAACCATTCATTACCTGAAGAAAGTATTTCCGGATCTCTTCGTACTCCATGTCCTCCATTGTCATCGATTGGATGTCTTCGCCGATCAAATGATTAGATCTTAATATTTAATTGTACTTTAATTTCACGATTAAATCAATTCATTGTAAATATCGTTAAAAAACATGTTTTTCTTATTGTTTTCATTCAATAAACGTTTTCATTTATGTTTACGTTATTTATGTATTTTAATCATTAAATTATTTATAAATTAAATTATAAAATTAATTATACATTATATTAAATATTTTATTTTACACTAATAACAAACCGCATGTTTTATATTGCTTTTAATTATTTTATAAATATTAGTTTTATTTTATATTAATAAATATTACAGCATTTAATTATTACAAACCTCTCCCCTCCACCCCTCACTAAATGCACGTTATTTACGAACAGCCATACAATAAGTGCACATAAAAGGTGTTTACATTCATAACTGGTTTTAACCAAAACTGTAATTAAAAAACACAACAAATGTTTTATTCAATTAATTAACAAAATAAATGTGTTTTGCATTCAAAACACAGCGAAAGCAATGCATTCAACGCATGGTTTAGCTCTTCATTATCACCGCAACCGTCGCGAAGACACCACAACCGTAACAATCGCCCACTCGTTGGGGCATTAGGTGTGCCATCGAGTCATACCTGAAGACAAAGACAAAGAGATACCACACGTAAAGAGGCGCTCGTTGTCGGGCGCATTGGTTCCGGAAGAATGTCTTCGCGAATGCCGGGCAATGCGATGAATCCGCTGAACATGGCGTGTGTGCCGCCAGCGATGCCCGCAATGCCGTCGCCGCTCATGTGTTCAATGCCTGCCATCGTTCCGGCCATGAATATCGGCGGCGGCGGTGCTGTCGGCGGTGGTGTTGCCGGCGCTGACCAGTGGTCTGCCGTTTGGACGACTCCACCGAATGCCTATCAATTCAATTACCCGTTGAGTCACCAGTCGTTGTCGGCGGCGATGGCGGGCCAACCCGTGCCATACGTGATGAATGGTTTCGCCAACACGTGGAACACTATTCCAGTGATGAGACCGCAGATGAACGCGTTTATGGCCACCAATCGGGCCGACAATCATATGTTCAATCATATGAATGGTATCGGGAGTCAGACTTCCGTGCCATCGATCCATCAAAGATATGCCACTAATTGTGATAACAATAACTCTACTAATAATAACAATTGTACGCAAACTTCACAACAGATGAACGCACGGAACAAGTCTTTCGATGTCGTCGACAGTCACTCATCCCGTCATACGTTATATTCGAGTCATAAGAATAGCCAGAAGTCTTCGTTTAAATCTAATCAAAGAAGTGATGATAGAAATCATGTCAACAGTAATCATAACAATAGTAGTAATAGTAATCATAATCACCGCAAACACAGAGATAGAGGGGATAGAGATTACAACAATCATAAACACAATCATAAATATAATGATCGATCAAAATACCAATCAAACCAACGAACCAACCGTTTTCCAGACACTAACGCAACAAATGAAGTCAAAGATACCAAATGTGGTGATAGTGTGTCCGCAGAGCCAGAGTCAAAGAGGAAGCGACGCTCAGACAGTAAGTCAACGGCCGATGAATCGTCCAAAGGAGTCAACAACGAAGACATGAAACCCAGAGTGAGAGCGAATGAGACGACAGATAAGAAGCCGACGACGCCTTCTTCGGCACCGAAGAAAGAGCCAAATCCTATAATCGCTGAAACGGAACAGATATTCACCAAACCTATCGACTGGTGGCGCTGTTCACCCGCCGATCTCTTCTATGAGCCACAGCGGGACAGCTCGGAGTCGATGACCGCCACTAAACGGCTCATCGATTTGCGCGATAAGTTTCGGTACGAATTGTTGGAAAGGAGTGAACGAGCGCTTCAACACAAACCAAAGTTTGAACCCCCGGTGCGAACCATACGACTAAAAGTCCCCAAAACCGGTACTTTTTATTAATGTTTTAAATTGAATGTATTTTTCAAATGAGTTAAATTTGTTTTCAGTGCCGACGAGCAGTGATTCCTCCAGTTGTGAAAGTGATAGCAACGATGACGACTGCGAAGACACCGCTTACGAAGAATTGCAGCGAAAGAAAAGACATCCATTGAGACTACACGAAGAGTTGTGGTATAACGACGCCGGAGAGGTCTGTCCATTCAATTCCGTTGCCATACCTTTTGGTTTCTATTAATATTTGAATTCACTTTGATTTGTGTTAATATTGTTATAATTTGATAATTATTGTTATTGTTGTTTGATTTGCTGTTAACCTATAAGTATTTAAATGTTTATCTGAAACCTCGAGCGCCTCTATCTCTAGAAGTACTGCTCCTATAAAAGCAAACCTTCATTTGATATGAAAAAAGGCCTTAAGATCGCAATCAAAAGAACTTTCAAGTTATTTGAATATATAATAAGTGATTTGAATTTGCTTTTGTTTGCGTGTATTACCACAGATGAACGACGGCCCGCTCTGCCGGTGCAGCGCGAAGGCCCGCAAAACCGGCATTCGTCACGGCATATACCCGGGCGAAGAGCATCTGCCGCTTTGCGACCCGAACGGCAACAATCGGCACCGTTTGCATCACTATCGGGTGGCCATTACGCCCAACACTAACTTCTTGACCAAATTCCCGACAGTAATCCCACACGACGGCCACGACTTTGTGTTTGAGGGCTATTCGCTGCTCTCGCACTGGCCGTTGACTAATCCCATCCCCTGTAAAGTGATTCGCTTTAACATCGAATATACGGTCACTTTTGTTGAGGAGAAGTTTCCCACAAATTTTTCGGTCTTAGATTTGGAGTTTTTTACACGTTTTGTGTTCAATGAGATCCTAGAGTTAGTGGATCTCAACTTTAAGGCCCATATGGAGGGCGACGACGGGTGTCCGCGCTTTCACTTTTTGCCCCGTTTTTCCCGCCTCTTGGATGAGAACGGAAAAGAGTTGCTATCACTCAATGTGGTCCTCCAGTACTTGTTGAACAACAATCGGCTCATCATCGATGAGAACCGTTTGGATGAATATAAGGGCATGAGTGGCGACGAGTGGCAGTCATTTGCCAAACATCTGAAGGGAATGATTGTCTCTTATCCGGGAATGAAGCCGTCGTCTCTGCGCGTCGATCAGATCGATAGGGAAACCGACGATTTGATCGACGGTAAGGTCGCTGCCGGCGATCTCAGTGACGATCAACAGACCGGCGAAAACGATGGTAACAGCGAGAAGAGTAGTGGCGATGGGTTTCCTGTGATCGTTCACTTTGGTATACGTCCGCCGCAACTGAGTTACGCCGGGAATCCTAAATACCAGAAGGCGTGGAGGGATTACGTGAAGTTTCGACACCTGTTGGCCAACAAGAAGAAGGTCTCATACATTGACAAACAGACACTCCTTCAGAAGGAGGAGAAGCTGCAGGAGATGCGGATGAAGAGCGACTTAAAGCGCGACGTGACTGTTGTCCTCAGCAGCAAAGGCTTCTNAACTTCGGCACTAATCCAGACCACGCGCGCAACGCGTTGACGAACTGCGGTATACGTCAACCGCAATACGGCGACCGACGCGTCCACTTCATGAACACTAGGAAACGGGGCATTAATATGTTGATCAATATTATGTCCCGATTTGGGTGCAACGAAGAGACCACTTCTAACATCAACCACAATGAAAGGCTTGAGTTCTTGGGCGACGCTGTCGTCGAGTTTATGTCATCCATTCATTTATACTTCATATTCCCGGACCTCGAAGAGGGAGGTTTGGCTACATATCGGGCGGCACTCGTCCAGAATCAACAGTTGGCTGTTTTGGCTAAAAAACTGCAATTAGAAAAGTTTATGCTTTACGCTCACGGATCAGATCTGTGCCACGATCTTGAACTTCGACACGCGATGGCCAACTGTTTCGAGGCATTAATGGGCGCCTTATTCCTCGACGGAGGGGTTGAAGTGTCCGATCGGATCTTCTCGAACACACTGTTTGGCGACGAACCGCCACTTCTGGACGTTTGGATCAATTACCCGAAACATCCGCTCCAGAGTCAGGAGCCGACCGGCGATCGGCATTACATCGAAACCATTCCGCGTCTGAAGGAATTGATTAAATTTGAAGACATCACTGGTATTGAGTTCTCACACATCCGACTCCTGGCGCGTGCCTTCACTCACCGCAGCGTCGGTTTCAATAACTTGACGCTCGGCTCTAATCAACGCATGGAGTTCTTGGGCGACACTGTTCTCCAGTTGGTTGCGTCGGAATATCTGTATAAGTACTTCCCGGAGCACCACGAGGGACACCTGTCGCTACTCCGGAGCTCATTAGTCAACAACAAGACTCAGGCGGTGGTGTGCGACGACTTAGCCATGACGTCGATCGCCATCTATAACTACGCGAAGGGCGAACTCAAGACGAAGGACAGGGCGGACCTGTTGGAGGCATTCCTGGGCGCCCTATATGTGGACAAAGGGTTGTTGTTTTGCCGTACGTTTTGTGAGGTGTGTTTCTTTCCTCGTTTGGAGCACTTTATTATGAATCAGGACTGGAATGACCCGAAATCAAAGCTCCAACAGTGCTGTCTCACACTCCGCTCCGTCGACGGCGGAGAGCCAGACATTCCTGTCTATAAGTGAGTGTTTTAATGATTTGTGCTTTTTATACACAGAATATACTAATTGTTACTCTATTTGTGTGATTTACAGAGTGATTGAATGCAGAGGTCCGACGAATACACGCGTTTATGTGGTGGCCGTCTATTTCCGTGACCAACGGTTGGCCACCGGAACGGGTCATAGTATACAAGAGGCCGAAATGAATGCCGCCTCCAATGCATTGGAATCATCCAGAGGTTTGACATCTGAAATAAATATGGCTTTTAATTGAAATGATTAATAATTGGATGAATTATTTGATAGAATTATTTCCACAATTAAGTCATCAAAAGAAAGTGATAGAAAGAAGTGTCAAATCAGTCAAAACTCAATTCAAGACATCGCGAGAGAAACGCCGCGAAAAGTATAAGAAATGCGATTCCAATCGAAACAGAGATCATAAGGAAAGAGACAAAAAAGTGAAGATTAAAACATTAAGTTAACAAATATTTGCTGCAAAATTGTTTGTTACGCTTAACTCGTCTCTCATTATTTTGATTATATTTTAATTACAAGTAGTCTTTAATTAAGAGATATTTATGTTTAATTTTACTTTTATTTTATACAAAATCGTTTCTAACAATTAACGTAATTTAATTTGACTATAATTATATAACATTTTTATTTATTATTATTAGTGCTATTTATAAACGAATTGTCGATATATTTAGTGAATTTTCTTATATTAATATAAAATAATAATAATAATAATAATATGCATGAAAATGTTTTTCAAATCATTGGGGGATCTATTTATCGAATAAATTAATATTAACTTAAATAATGTTTTTAAAAAATTTTTTAATTAAAAGTCAATGTCTTAAATAAAATAAATGTCATTTTGTCGTTAGGAAAAGGCATTATCCTATCCTATGCTTCAAAAGTCATTATTAATGTCCACAAATTCTTACTTAAAAGTATTTCAATGTAAGAGAGAGAGAGAGAGAGAGAGAGAGAGAGAGAGAGAATACGCGACAAATATAATGACAAATGTGTTAACATGTGAACACCTACTCTATCCCTGGATTAAAGCGATAGTAATAATGAGATTATTGCTCTGCATCTTATTCTTTGGCCGCAATTCTTATATATTTTTTTTATTTAGTTTTTATTTTGTTTATTTTTCTGTATTTCAGACATTAAGACATTCACTCCGCGCTCTCGACAAGTGATAAGACTTTTTCTTTAATGTTAAGCAATGCGTGAAATAAAATTAAGCTTTGCTTCACAGAAATATAATGATAAATAAATAGTTGTATAAAAAAGCTGTGAATGTAATATGGGATGCAATCTGTTTTGAATATGAAATATGGTCTCATTTCTTAGCAATTTAATCATCAATGGGTTAGTCATTCACTGATACCGTCATTATATAATTGAAATGATTAATTTTAATTTAATAAAAGAAAGTATTTTTGCAAAATCTAAAAATAAGTAATAAATAAAGAATTTTTGATAAATTAAATGTAATTTTTCGTTTTATTGTAATTTTTATTGACTATCTTTAGAGACCACTAAAACACTATTCAATTCACACATTAATCTTGTATTTAGAGATTCTTTATGAAGAATATGTTGTAATAAATGAATGAAAACATTAATATTATTAAATTCCTGACATATTTGGCATTTCTTAACGTCTTTCTATTGGTTGTGATTTCAAATAAGGAGTTTGAGTTAAATTTTAATAATATCTTATATTTTTGTTAAAATATTCTATCAATTTATAATAATGCAATAACTAATACATGATATTTTATTTATAATATACACATGTATTTAATGATTGCCTATTTAATGAATACCTAATTTGGTTAATCTCGACGGACTGTCATTTGAATGATTGACCGGATTTTTTGGATTACATGAATGACAGTCTAAAGAATACTGTTTCCCAATGCGAACCAATAGTTTGGATGTTTCGACACAACATAAGTATACAATATATACGAAGCGTTTTGTTTGAATCTAATTTTAACTGAAGTTT